TCACGTCCTCAAGCAATGAAGTCTCAAGTAAAATGACCGCACGCGGGTCTCTGAGGGCCACCGTTTCACCAAGTTACAGTGGGGTTACCTGTCCTTCCGAACATCAACCCATCAGCTGGAGGGATACCTCTGAACCCCCAAATACCCCAGAGGTGCCCCTCCCAGGCTCCCCAGGTCAGCCTCTCCCCATCGCCCTCCAACTCCCCCCCTCCCCGCGCCCCAATATGAAGAGATCGCTTTAGAGAAAATGGCCTACAGAAACCAGAAGGAAAAGCCATGACAAACACGCGTGATGGGTGCCGGCTCGGCCCGCATAGCCGGCCGGCCTACAGGTGACGACGACTATTTACACGGGGCGTTACCAAGCAAAAATGGTAGCACTACCTAGGAGGCTCCGACTTTTTTTCTTTTTCTCTATTTCTTTTAAACTTTCTCGTCGTAAAAGCCAACTTACATTAAAATATACTTATTACAAGACAACACAACTAACAAAATAGATAATAAAACGTACACAAGTAGAAAATTCTGAGGTATTTCTGGTTTGAGGTGGTCTGTGGTCGTGAAGTTTTCTTTTTCAAAATTTAAACCTCGGAAGCCACATAGCAAAGCGTGCGTGTGTGTGTGTGTGTTTCATGTTTGTTTTTTAACTTTGCATGTCTCATAAATTAAAAAAAGAAGTCAAATGTTGAAACAGCAGCACTAGGAACATCCGCGGACCAGAGCCAGGTGGTGGCGTCAGAGAGAACGGGTTTGGGATAGGCACCGCTTGAAGGGTCTGGACAAAGCGCATCCACGACCCACACGGAGGGGACAGTCGCGTCACCACTCGGGGTGGAGCCGGCGCCCCAACCTCAGCGTCTCCAGAGGGGCAGGCCTCAGCGGGCTCCAGCCCATTCCTCTGGCCCTGGCCGTGAGGGCGCCCCCTGCGGGCATTTCCCTGAACTGCTGCAGGAGGAAGCGAAGTATTCCCGCTTTCCCTCCTTGAAGGATATTTACAGCATCACGCCTTACGAAGCGTGTACTCACTGAGCTGTGACTCCCGCCTAACCTCCCCGGAAAACACGGGGCAGAAAGGAACGTTCTGTCTGAGGCCCAAGCCCAAGCGGGTGGAAAGAACCCGGCCTGGGCCCGCCGCCGCCGGGCCAGCTGCGCGCGCCGCCGGACTTGCCCCAAACCCTGCCCTTGCCGGTCATGCCCGGCCTCCCGGCCCTTGCCCTCGCTCCTGGTTACCTGAGAAGTAGCCTCACGGCAGAGGGTGTTGCTCCGGATGTGCCGTGTCCAGTGTAGCTTGTTCCAGACCGTCCCCCACTGCACCGCCCCCTCCAACTCGCCCACCCACCTTCCTCCTCCTCCTCCTCCTCCCAGCTTGGCCTCGGTCAGGACACCCGTTAATCCGTGAAAGACACATCTGCTGTTTCTTAAACTCGCTGTCTAAAAAGGAGAAAAAACACCCTATGAGAGAGGGAGGGAGGGGAGGAGGAAGGGAGGGAGGGGAGGAGGGAGGGAGGGGAGAAGGGAGGGAGGGGTGACTCCTCTGGAGGAAGGTGTGTTCTGATGTAACAGTCTTCATAGGTTC